TTCGATGATTGGATTGGGTCAATTGTGACCCATGTGTTTTCGGGAGAGATTTAAAAAGAATACAGTCACAAATTTTTAATTTATGTACGATATAACGCGACAGTTCGATGATTGGATTGGGTCAATTGTGACCCATGTGTTTTCGGGAGATTTAGAAAGAATACAGCCACAAATTTTTAATTTATGTACGTGTGCAACTAGAATACTTTCTTTTTAATGAAAATAATTCTTTAAAAATTTGTTTTTGCACCGTGTAAATTATAATCGTGCTAATTAGCTACGGAGTAAATACTCCAATATACAAGAATGAAATTTGCGAATAATTCATCTCCGATAGAAATGATTCTGTACGACACGTTCTTATAACTTGTTATTATTAGTTAATAGTTATATTTACCTAAGTAATTTCGATGTGCAAGAATAAAACTTGCAAAGAATTTTCCATCGATAGAAATAATTCTTTAAGATCCTTTTCTTATGGTTTACTATTATTAATCGTTATATTAATCTAAGCAATTTCAATATACAAGAATGAAATTTGCAAAGAAATCTCCCGCAATAGAAATAATTCTATAAGATCCTTTTCTTATGGTTTACTGTTATTAATCGTTATATTAATCTAAGCAATTTCAATATACAAGAATGAAATTTGCAAAGAAATCTCCCGCAATAGAAACAATTCTTTAAGACGCATTCTTATAATTTACTATTATTAGTTAATCGTTATATTCACCTAAGTAATTTCGTTGTGCAAGAATAAAACGCAAAGAATTTTCCATCGATGGAAATAATTCTATAAGATCCTTTTCTTATGGTTTACTATTATTAATCGTTATATTAATCTAAGCAATTTCAATATACAAGAATGAAATTTGCAATGAATTCTCCTCCAATAGAAATAATTCTTAAAGACACGTTATCATACTCTACTAAATTTTATCGCCAAATTTACTTAAATAATTTCAGCGTAAAAGGCAATTCGACTATTCTCATTCATACTTCGTTTTCGTAACTCTCCTTCGCGTTCGCCGCGGTGTTCGCTAACATTGATTGAACAACGTTATACAATTTAATATTTCGCTCGCGTTCGGGCTACTCTCCATCGTATTCAATAACAGAGATAAGCAAAAATATGACAGTCGCGACGTTTCGCGGCTTGTCACGATTTATAAGGTTATCGGCGCGCGACGATGTAAACCGAGTCGTCGAAGGTTGTTTAAAAAGCGTCGTTTGACATGCGTGTAGACGTAATCGGGACGACCTTGGCCCGCGTAACCTAGTACATACGACGCCCTTGAACGGGGTCGTACACTTCTCGCAGAAGCAAACGATCGTGGACGGTTTCTGTCGTTGTCTCTACACTCTCCACTCTATTACGTCTATCCGTGGCCCCGATAACCGTTTTCCCACATCGAATATATATATATATTTTTTTCTTCTTCCCCTCTTTCCGCAATGCGGCTCGTCCTTGGGGGAGGACCTTTCTCTTTGCTTGTGGTACGTGCGTGCGAGAGCGTATTTTTTTTTTTCGGGTAAACACTAATATCGATTAAATCTCGCGTCGAACGTCCGCTCGCTTTCAATTCCGCCGAGGTGGCCTTTCGAGTCGCTGTAAATCGATTCCGAGATCGACGGAGCGATTCTCGATTGGCGCGGCGGGGCAGGGAGGGGCAGACGAGGAAAGAAGACACGGGCAGAAAGTATTTAAACGTAGAAAGATGCAGTTCGAGTAAATTGTTCGATTTCAAATTGTTCGTAATTTATGTACAGCGGGTGTAGAATGTATTCGTACACCGATCAATTTCTCAAAAAGTTTTGTCCGAAATTGTAGTCTCTTAACTTCTCTTTTTATGATCAATGATATTTTACATACTCTCGGAAGTCTCTAAGATAGATGTAGCCCAAACAACATTTACTAGTTAATATATTTCGTGAAATTAACAAACAAAAATGCGAAAAGTAGGTAAAAGTATAGGAGCAATTAGTACTTGTACGATTCTTATGACGAACCATTTACAGCAGAGTTCGTAACGTAAACACATTAGTTTATTGCTCCGTACGAATTAGAAAACATGAAATTTCCAGGAAAGTACTTTTAAACAGTTGTGCGAATACTTATTGCTTCAACATTTTTATCGATTGTTTGTTTTTTTTCTTGTTAGTTTCGCAACTTACATAAATAGCTATCTTTTTTGTCAAATATCTATTCTAGAGATTTCCGAGAATATGTAGAATGTCATTGTTTATAAAAAATAAGTTAATAAATTACAATTTTACACAGTTATTTTGGAAATTGATCGGTGTACGAATACTTTCTACACCAACTGTAAATAGATCGGCGAACGTTCGTGCGTTTACGACACGTGGAAATACGCGTAAATCCGAAAAATAAAAAAATATAGAGTTGTCGTACTGTTTAGAATTTTTAGAAGATAGAGGCTTTCGTTTAGGTTTCGCCCTCAGGGGCTGTAGCTATGTTCGATCGTAGCTACAGTACGGGTATAGCAATCCCGAGGTACCCGAGCTATAGGGGAGAGTCAGTGGGCTTTAATATTAGATGTTACAGTGAAGTTACTCGACTTTTCCCATCCTTGTAAATTCTAAAATTCTGACTTAGAAACTCTTCCATTCGCTCGATCATTTAAGTTTCGATTCTGTGTCTCTATCCGTGAAAACGTGAATTCGCGTAAATTTCCGTGGTTACAAATATTCCACACTTTTTCGCTCGATTTTCTCGCTTAATTCAGCTCCTGGATGAATAAATAATAAAAATTCAAATTCTGTGATTACAAATATTCCACACTTTTTCGCTCGATTTTCTCGCTTAATTCAACTCCTGGATAAATAAATAATAGAAATTCAAATTTGCTTATCTTCCGTGACTCTTACCTCCGCGGAGGCACTCAGAAGGACGAGCAGTTTCTGTCGCGTCTACCGCGTTTAAACCTTCGAGGAATTCGAACGATAAACGATAGAAAACAGTCTGTGTAGGCTCGGGAAAGTATTCTTTCGCTCTCGTGTTCCTCCAGGCCCATCCGACGAAATGGAATGTCCTCGAGTCTCGTTACCAAGAGGACATCGATCGTAGCTGGATTTATACTGTGCAACCTCGCGTGTCGGATCTCCTTGACGGTGAAGTTGCTGGAACCCAGTGGGCTTCCGTGTGCATTTTCCGGGGTGATCTAGACGCGATTTTACGGAAAACGATGTTTAATATTACGAGGTCTGCGAGTTATGTTAAATAAAAAAAAAATTCCATTTTGAGATACACTGCTGTAGTCAAAATTCGTGACTTGCACTGAGTTATAGGGCAGTGTTTATATGGAGAACCTTGATTATTTTAATTTCTTAGACGTTGTTGTAACAGTAAGAAATCAAAATGGATCGTACGCAATTCAGTCACGCAGCACGAAATATAAAATATTGTATGTAGTCTTGTAAGTACAATAAAGTCTCTTTAACCCTTTGGGCTCGAGGTATTTTACTATAGAATCAAATCTAGCCTATTTTTATAATAAATTTTAAAAACCAAAAACTCTACTTCGAAAAGAAACATTTACGAACATTCGTGACTCAATGTATTATTATTTCAATAAATAATGATCTCTATTCTGATATAAGTAAAATTGAAATTGTACGTTCAATAAATCATTTTTAAATTACGTACGTCGTCGTAGAGACGCCACTCGAGCGCAAAGGGTTAAATGTACAAATTTCTCTACAATAAATGCACATAAATCATATTCCCACCACTGGGGGGTATACGTCCTGAGGGGTCCAGGATTTCGATCGCCGAGCAGTATAACATAAACTGGGTGATATTTCTATAAGACTAATGTCTTCATAAACATAGAGGGTTCGAATACTTATGGGACTGACTGAGAGAAACTATCGTGACCTAGTAGTGCACGCGAGTAACTTCAAGTAACTCGCTTAGGAAGCTTTTTTAACCGACTTCGAAATGGAAAAGGTTACTAGATTCAAATTTTTTTCTTTTGTTCTTCTCTTGACTCCTGGATCCGATAGCTCTCGGGTCGCCCATCCTTGCATCGTTTAGTACCGTCTCCCGCAAAGGCCAAATTCTCGCTATCTAGCGTGTATAATTAACGGTCTGGCTCATTAACAAGCTTTCTCTAAAAACGAGCGAAAAATTCGTGTCTTAATTGGACGTCACTCGGACGTCCGAGTCCGTCTCTTTCCGCGAGATCCCCTCGGGAAAGCTTGTCGGGACCAGAAGAACAAGAAAAAGAAAAGACGGATAGAAACCGGGAGAGACCACGACCACGACCACGACGACAAGGGAAACGCGTGTACGCTAGCCTTTAGCCGCAAATGCGAGCTTGGTTCACCCACTTTCATGCCACTCTCGCAACTGCCGGACGGCACATTCGGCAAGGAACACGCCTGTGTACGTACGAGCCTCGAACATAACGTGCAAAATTAGGTGTCTTAACGCCGTGGCTGGTGCGCAAAGGGAACGCGATTACCTGTGGTCCAGCCTATAGCGACGCGAGATGGACTTTGGTCCATGATGGATCGATTACCCATCGATTTTCGTGGTCTCGTGAGGATAGATATCCAGGAGGGTACAACTGGGCATATGAAAGCTAGTTTTATTTATTTCAGTGATGGGCAAAACCCTAGGCTTCGAATAAATCTGAAGTTTGCCGATGTGTTTGTCTCGTTTCCTTTTTTGAACATTTTCCAAAGAAGGAAACGAGAGAAATATATCGGTAAACTTCAG